AACTCTGAAGTGGCAACATTTCCCTTAAAACAATCCTGATTTTCCCCCAAAACTGAAAAAAAGTCTCATTGTTGAATAAAAGTGTGAAAAAAATAATAATTGTATCTTAAAAGTTATTAACTTTGAATCAAAAATGGCAAGTTGTAGTCCAACTTTGCTTCTAGATACCCCCAAGGCAAGAGAAGCTAGTGCCTTGTTTCTTTTTTCATGTGTGAGAAGGAGTCGCTGAACGAGCCGTTCTTGTTCAGTACACCTTTGTCTATCAGAAGAGGATGAACACTACCCTTCACTGGTGAACAGATCGACCCTCTTGAATTTCAAATGCGCAGCTGTCTTAAATCCGCCATATGGAGCTGCTCGTGTTGACTCCAGTTCTGAATTGTCTCAGTTGTGATCTAAGCACACCAAGAGTTTCACTGTTGGCTGCCAATGCAAGCACAGAGAATTAGTTTATTTTTGTAATTCTAGTGTTCCCAGAACATCACAGAAATCCCTTCTGGTCCAGCATGAACACAATTCATGTCTAATGTGGATAAAATTTAATCTTCAAAAGATTTTGACCAAATTTCTAAAACCAAACCACACACGTTGTTTAAATAGTTGGATAATAGATTGAGTTCACATTAACTCAAAATTAGAACATTCGGACTAAGATTAGGGCAGCACGGTGGCGCAACTGGTAGAGCTGCTGCCTCTCAGCGAGCAGGTCCTTGGTTCAAACACCGGCCCAGGGGCCTTTCTGGGTGGAGTTTGCATGTTCTCTCCGTGCATGCGTGGGTTTTCTCCGGGTGCTCCGGTTTCCTCCCACAGACCAAAAACATGTTAGGCTGATTAGTAGCTCTAAATTGTCCCTAGGTGTGAGTGAGAGAGTAAATGGTTGTTTGTCTCGTTTATCTCTGTGTGTCCCTGTGATGGACTTGCGACCCGTCCAGGGTGTACCCCGCCCCTCGCACAGTGATTGCTGGACATGGGCACCAGCGACCCCCGTGACCCAAAATGGAATAAGCGGGTAAAGAAAATGGATGGATGGATGAAAAATCACATCAATTGATATCCTGATGCATGCTCACATCAATTGATCACGGTTCAAACGTAATAAACCACCAGTGACTTCATGCTTCAAACATTTTTTTAAGTTGTCTTGACCAAAAGTTCTCCAGACTTTTCCAATGGTCTTTCAAAGTTTTTCTTTGTGGCTTGTTTATTTATTTATTTATTTATTTATTTATTTATTTATTTATTTATTT